TGAACTAGGATTGGATTTTTGAGTAAACGACCACGGAATCAGGATCTGAAGGTTCCAGCAGGTTTGTATGATGATTTCGGACTTCGGCATATGCCCGGTTCAGGTTTTGGATAACCCGGGAGCATTTTGGCGCCTATTGTGGAAGTTATCATTTTAGAAGAAATTTCATAAGTTTGGTTTGAAGTGCATTTTAATGTTATCAATGTCCGTTTGGTATTCCGAGACTGCGTATAGCTCCGTATGGTGATTCTGGAGTTGGGAGCGCGATCGGAAGTGAATTCGGAAGTCCGTAGGTCATTTTGGAGCCATTTGGCTAAAGATAGAAATTTGAAGGTTTTTGAGAAGTTTGACCGGAAGTGGACTTTTTGATATCGGGGTCGGAATCCAATTCTGGAAGTTGGAGTAGGTGTGTAATGTCAAATATGACTTGTGTGCAAAATTTGAGGTCAATCGGACATGATTTGATAGGTTTAAACATCGGAAGTAGAAGTTGGAAAGTTCAAAGTTCATAAAGCTTGAATTGGGGTGTAATTCATGATTTTAGCGTTGTTTGTTATGATTTAAGGCCTTGAGCAAGTCCGTAATGTATTTTGGGACTGGTTGGTATGATTGGTTGGGGTCCCGGGGGCCTCGGGTGAATTCCGGGTGGTTAACGGATCGAAAATGGATTTTTGGGAAGGCTGAGTTTGCTGGTTGCTGGTGTTTCCGCTTCTGCGGAAATGGGACCGCAGAAGCGGTAGAGGGCGCCGCAGAAGCGGATTTGTTCGAAGGATCGTGGACCGCAGATGCGGCCAAGGTTCCGCAGAAGCGGGACCGCATCTGCGGAAGTGGTTATCGCAGAAGCGAAAAGGGGGCAACCAGGGCGGATCGCAGAAGCGGTTTTTGACCGCACCTGCGGAACCGCAGAAGCGGTCCAAGGTCCGCAGGTGCGAAAATGACTGAAGCAGTGAGGTTGATTTAAATCGTGGTTTGGTTCATTTCTCTCATTTTTCATGGCTTGGGGCGATTGTTGGAGAGCTTCAACGAGGGATTTTCGTCTGCTATGTTAAGGTAAGTTATCCCCATCACTTTTGAGTTAAATACATCAATTATGTATGGATTTAAGCATGAAAATTAGTGTAAATATGGAGGTTTTTGGGGGAAACCTAGAAAATGATATTCTTAGAATTTAGCCACGAATTTTAGCATGGAATTAGGAGTAAATTGTATATTTGAGCTAGTGAAGCCATGGGTAAACTTTATCTTCGAAAAATTTCGGATTCCGGGCACGTGGGCCCGAGGGCATTTTGGTCATTTCGCTAAGCGAAGTTGGGAATTTGTATAATCTGAATTGTTAGCAAGTATTTGAGCATGTTCTCATTAGTTTGTCGTTAATTGGCTAGTTTTGGTGCGTTGTGCGTCGGTTCAAGCCTTCGGAGGAATGTAGAATGCCGGTTATGGATCTTCGGAGCGAGGTGAGTCTCCTTTCTAATCTTGTGAGGGGGAATTTACCCCATAGGTGAGTTAAATTGGTATGTGCTCCTATTTGTGGGGGCTACGCACGTACGAGGTGACGAGAGTCCGTGCGTAGCTACTATTTGCTATTGTCCGGGTAGCTAGGACCCAAAAGCATGAATACTTGAATTAATTGTAAATTCTTGGATAGCTCAAATTGCTTGTGTCACATGGAATTTGTAAATGAATTTCTAAAGAGATTTAACCTTACTTGTAAAATTTTGTTAAAAGAGGAATTGATATATATATCGATAAACACTCCCTGATAAGTTCTTACTTGATTGATTGAGCATGTTATATTTGGACTAATTGTGAACCCTTCGAGGGTTTGAATTGCTTAAATCACATTAAATTTATAAATGGATTTCTAAAAAGACTTAAGCTTCGCTTCCTCAGATTATTTAAAGAGAGTTGGCCTTTCTTGGATAATTGCTCCATGTTGACTTATTGACTGACTGTCTATCTGTGTGTGTTTATTTTGGAACGGGCCGAACGCCTCGGCAGATTAATAGATGCATCTATAGGCGCGTCGTCGACCCTCGGCAAGTGCACATTTCTTTTCTGTTGGAGCGGGCCGTCGCCTCGGCATGATTTGCGCATGATATTTGTGTATATTGATGCATGAGAAATTTTAAATGAAGATATTGCCTTTCATGGCTTGATGTAAATGGATAAAATAAAGAAGAGTAAAACTTGAAAATCCCTTATTACTTGTTGAAGGTGTATTGCCTATTTTACAGCTTTGTGAGTTAAAACTGTATATATATAATCCATGATTCCCTCACATATTTAGTATATTATTATTGGACCGCTAGTGAGTGTCCAGGTTGACCATCTCGTCTCTACCCCTTCGGGATTAGGCGGGATACTCACTGAGTACACGTTGATTACGTACTCATACTACACTTCTGTGCATTTTTGTTGCACAGGTATATTCTACATTTGATAGCAGCACGGATGATCTGGGGACTAAGTGAGTTGCAGTATGCAAGGCGGCCCGCAGCTTTTAAAGCCCTTTTCTAGTAAATTGTATTTCCTTTCTGTCCATTGTATTCCGGACGGATGTTGTGCTGTATTTTATATCCTTATCAGTAGTTGCTCATGCACTTGTGACACCGGGTTCTGGGATGGGTTTTCTTTGAAAGATGCGTATTATTGGTTATTTCTTCATTCGAATTGAGACAGAGGTTATTTTATATATGAAAAATGAAAGAAAAACTCTTAGATTGCAAAGTTATTAAAAGATACTTTAAATTGATAATTTAGTTGGCTTGCCTGACAACGGCGTCCGGGGCCATCACGATCCGTAGGGGATTTGGGTCGTGACAGCCAGTATGATGATCCGCATTTGCTTGTCCTTAAGGACAGGGTTCAGCATGATGATGCCAGGGATGTGACCATTGGTGATGATGGCGTGTTGAGGATGCAGGGACGGATTTGTGTGCCCAATGTGGATGGGCTTCGGGAGTTGATATTAGAGGAGGCCCACAGCTTGCGGTATTCCATTCATCCGGGTGCCGCGAAGATGTATCAGGATTTGAGGCATTACTATTGGTGGATGAGGATGAAGAAGGATATTGTAGGGTTTGTGGCTCGGTGTCTCAACTGCCAGCAGGTAAAGTACGAGCATCAGAGGCCGGGCTGTGTGCTTCAGCGGATGATTATTCCAGAGTGGAAGTGGGAGAGGATTACTATGGATTTTGTGAGTGGTCTCCCTCGGACTTTGAAGAAGTTTGATTCGATTTGGGTGATTGTGGATCGGCTGACCAAGTCCGCGCACTTCATTCCAGTATGTACGACCTATTCTTCGGAGCGACTGGCAGGGATCTTTATCCGGGAGATTGTCCGATTGCATGGGGTTCCAGTGTCTATTATCTCAGATAGGGGTACTCAGTTCACTTCCCAGTTCTGGAAGACTTTTCAGCGAGAGTTGGGTACTCAGGTGGAGTTGAACACAACATTTCATCCTCAGACTGATGGACAGTCCGAGCGTACTATTCAGATATTGGAGGACATGTTGCGTGCCTGTGTTATTGATTTTGGAGGTTCTTGGGATGGGTTTTTGCCGCTTGCAGAGTTTGCCTACAACAACAGTTATCAATCGAGCATTCAGATGGCTCCGTATGAAGCGTTGTATGGGAGGCGGTGTAGATCTCCTATTGGTTGGTTTGAGCCCGATGAGGCTAGGCTATTGGGGACAGATATGGTTCAGGATGCCTTGGAGAAGGTGAAGTTGATCCAGGAGAGGCTCTGTACAGCACAGTCGCTTCAGAAGAGTTATGCGGACCGGAAGGTTCGAGATGTGTCTTATATGGTTGGTGAGAAGGTCTTGCTGAAGGTTTCGCCCATGAAGGGTGTTATGCGGTTTGGGAAGAAAAGGAAACTATGTCCGCGGTTTATTGGACCTTTTGAGGTACTTAGGAGGATTGGGGAGGTGGCTTATGAGCTTGCTCCAGCTTGTCAGGCGTGCATCCGGTATTTCATGTTTCTATGCTCCGGAAGTATGTTAGGGACCCGTCTCATGTATTGGATTTCAGCACTGTTCAGTTGGATGATGATTTGACCTATGACGTGGAGCCAGTGGCTATTTTGGGTCGTCAGGTTCGAAAGTTGAGATCTAAGGATATAGCTTCGGTGAAAGTGCAGTGGAAGGGTCAGCTCGTAGAGGAGGCTACTTGGGAGACCGAGCGGGAGATGCGGAGCAGATATCCTCACCTGTTTGAGGCTCCAGGTATGTTTCTTGACTCGCTCGAGGACGAGCGTTTGTTTTATTTGGGGAGGATGTGACGACACGGCCCGTCGTCACGTGAGTTACCGCCCCGTTTCCCCCATTTTCTGCTTCCTTATGTTTTATTATAAGAGTCTTGAGTGAATGAGTCGATTTGGATTGGTTTCGGATAGAAATGAGACATATAGTCTCTTTAAGGAAGGTTTGTTTTGGAAAAGTCAACTGGATGTTGACTTATGAGTTAGAGGGCTCGGATGTAATTTCCGGTGATTTGGTTAGCTTCGGGGGATGATTTGTGACTTAGGAGTGTGATCGGAATTGATTTTGGAGGTCCGGTGTAGAATTAGGCTTGAATTGGCGAAGTTAGTATTTTGGCGAATCCCGGTTGATAGGTGAGATTTTGATCCGAGGGTCGGAATGGTATTTCGAGAGTTGCAGTAGCTTCGTTAGGTGATTTTGGATGTGTGTGCAAAATTCCAGGTCATTCGGAGGTGTTTTGGTCGAGTTTTTGATCAAATGCGTAATTCGGAAGTTTTAGAAGAACTTAGGCTTGAATTCGATGTAATTTGATAGTTTTGGTGTTAATTGTGGTGTTTTGATGATTGGAACAAGTTTGAATGATGTTTTAGGATGGGTTGGCACTTTTAGTTGAGGTCCCGGGGGCCTCAGGGTGATTTCGGATGGCCATCGAGTTGATTTTAGACTTGGTGATTGCTGAAGTTTAGCTGATATCTGGTATTTCCGCATCTGCGGAAAAAGGGGCCGCAGATGCGAAGTCATGAGGCGAGGTGCGAGCGTGGTCATTTGGAGAATTTCTGCAGAAGCGAGGGGGTTTCCGCAGGTGCGGTACCCGCAGATGCAGTTATTGACCGCAAAAGCGGTCCGCGTTTATGAGGGGAATTCCGCAGAAGCGGAAAGTGGTGCGCAAGTGCGGAGACCGCAGGAGCGGGATGGTTACCGCAAAAGCGGTCCTTGGCCTATTGAAGATCCTCAGAAGCGGAGGTGCAACCGCAGAAGCGGAAGTCGCATGTGCGGCAAAGTAACCGCAGATGCGGAAACGACTGTTCAGAGAAAGGGTTTTAAAGCTCATTTTGTTCCGCGAGCTTGAGTTCATTTCCACCATTTTTGATCGACCTTGAGAGCTTTTGGGCAGAATTTGAAGGGGATTTCGACTAGGTGTGATTGGAGGTGAGTTCCTCGACCTTAATACATGATTTAATGGTAGAATTAACGTGGAATTTGTGAAAATTCATCAAAAGAGGGTAAAGCTAGGGCTTGGGAATTTGGTATTTCAAAGTGGAATTTGAGGGGTCAAATGGACTCTGAATTTTGGTAATTTTGATATGTATAGACTCGTGGCGAGATAAGGAATTGGATGATGTTAATTTTTTGATTTTTCAAGAAGTGGGCCCGGGGCTCGGGATTTGCCAATTTTGTAAATTTCGATATTTTTCGAGTCTTTTCGATTGGGTTATGTTCCCTTAGCCTATTGTAACGTATTCGTTGTGGTTTTGACCAGATTCGACGGTCGCGAGGAGGTCGATGTGCGAGGCAAGGGCATAGCGAGCTAGGATTTTGGCCGGCTTGAGGTGAGTAATGATAGTAAATGATATCCTGAGGGTTTGAAACCCCGGATTTGTACAACGTAGTGCTATATTGAGGTGAAACGCGCGCTTAATGGCGAGCGCGAGGTTGTTTACTATAGGGGATTGTGATCTGGTCCGTCCCGTTTGATATTTTACTGAGTATTTGATTAATCTGATTTGTTTATCATCATGATTTGGGCTAGTTGCCATGTTTGGGGCCTCGTGTCGACTTGTAGAACCCTTAGGGGTATTATGACTGATTTTCCTCACTTTACTTAGTACAATTCACATCCTCAGTCATGTTTCTAATTGATTAAACAATGTGAACCGTTTTTATAAGTGTTAATCTTAAATGAGGGAAGATATGTTGGCTGAGATCCCTACCCTATACCATTGTGTCCTAAAATGACTGAGAGGGGTTGAGAACCCAACAGTGAGGATATTATACATATTATGGATCGGGCTGCACGCCGCGGCAAATACTCATATGGATCGGGCTGCACGTCGCAGCAAATGTTTATGTGGATTGGGCTGCGCGCCGCAAAAACATTGCGCTTGGCTGTAGGAGCCCCTCCGGAGTCTGCACCCCCACAGTGAGCGCGGGTACCCATATGGATCGGGCTGCACGCCGCAACGATGGATCGGGCTGCACGCCGCAGCGAGATATGGATCGGGCTGCACGCCGTAGTGGTTATTATATGATACTATTCTGAGAGTAATCTGAGTTACTGTACTGCGCAGTTGATACTGGGCCCGAGGGGCAGTTTTACTATTTACCACTTATTAGCTGTTTTACCTGATTTATCTGCTTTTAAAACGGAGATTTCACATGATTTCACGGATTTTACTGCTTTAAGGGATTTACTGCCTGATATAGAACTGCCTTGTGCTGTTATGTGTTTTCTTATCTTCAGCTATTATTTATTATTATTACTCACTGGGTCGGAGTACTCACATTACTCCCTGCACCATGTGTGCAGATTCAGGTATGGCAGAGTCCGTTCTTGAGCACTGATATCCTTGTCCAGATCAGGCCGCGAGTTCGGAGCTTCGAGGTAGCTGTTGGCGTCCGCAGCCCCCTTGACTCCTCTATTTCATGTTATTTCAGTTATTCCAGACTTCTGTATCAGATATTCTGTTTGTAGACTTATAGAAATTCTATAGTAGCTCATGGCTTGTGACACCCCGGTTTGGGCTGTGTCGGGATGGTTTCTACTGTTATATTCTATACTTCCGCGGATTATTGTTATTAAATTATGCTTTAGAATTGTTTAATGGTAATTAACTACTTAAAAGAGGTGTTGGTATTGTTCTGGCGGGCCTTGTCTTCACGAGAGGCACCATCACGGCCAGGTTTGGGATTTGGGCCATGACAGCTATCTCGAAACATTAACAGGGGATTTGTTTACTGCATGATTTGTAGACTGTCAATTCGACGAGACACTTTTCCCAAAATTAGGGGGAGAAGTTGGTGAAACCAAACGGAAAATTTTGTGGAAAAACCCATCATTATCTCATCTTGACCCACGTACCTCTATTTGTGAAAAAGAGGTGCAAAAGATTATCCATTTGCAGAGAATAGCAAATCAAATGCCAGACGCATTTACGGATTTGAAAAGGATAACAAAATCACATATCCCTGTAGAGAATGTTCCTATCCCTATTGATGTCCCTATAGGACAATCTTCTAGTGTCATAGCTAATGAGTCAAAAGCACGCCTAAAACGTGGCAGACCATTAGGTTCTAAGGATCGAAATCTTAGAAAAAGGAAAACAAATGATCAAGATGACACTAAGAAAGAGTCTCATGAAGAAATCCACGATTTAACCAATGTTGACAATCAATTTTGTCCCTCCTTTCTTTTAGTTAATTTTCTTGAGCTTCTAAGTTACTAATAAACCTAATACCTTATTTTACTACCATTGTCATTAGTATTAATATTTGTATAAGTATTACTATTTTTATTAGTATTGGTACTACTACTACTATTATTATTATTATTATTATTATTAATAATATTATTATTATTATTAGTATTATTAGTATTATTATTATTGTTATTATTGTTATAATTATTATTATTACTATTACTACTACTACTACTTTTACTACTATCACAATTATCATTATCATCATCATCATCCTCATTATTATTATTATGTCTGTTATTGCTACTATTAATAGTACTACTGTAACTAATATTATTATAACTTTTTTTTATATTTATTTTATTAACATCTATTTAATATTATTTTTCGTATATATAAAATTTATTTTTAATACAAAGAAGTTCAAAAGAATTAATTTGAAGATTGAAATGGACCAAAATTCGACCAAGACAAGGTTTAAATATTTTTTCTTCAAAGCCCACCAAAATTTCCATCTCCATAGCCATATTGTGCCAAAATTCACCTGACCCAACAAGCCCATCAGCTTTTGAATTAATCCAAGTAAAGAGCCCAACAAACTCTAAACCCTATGCCTCTTTCTCCTCTCTCTCTCATTCCACTTTTGTGGATTTTCAGCTCTTCCTCAGCCATGGCAGAGAATTGTCCACTCTATTTTCGTACAAGGTTTCTTACTATCTCTCGCTTCTCGAAGCAAGTCTTGTTCTCTTTCCCAAAGTGATATTCTGGTACACTTTAATCCTTTTAAGCTAGAGTGAATCTCTCCATTTCGAGAGCTTTCTGAAGCAAATCACGTGAAGGCCTCAAACGTTCGGATTCGAACGACTCTTTTGACCACAAATTCAAAATTAAATCAAGATCCGCTCAAGAGCAAACCCTATATTTTCCACTATAAATACTTGCATATCGTACCACTTCTGGACACCTTAGAGCCACCTAGACGAGAGGTGGGAGCTGCTGCTAAAAACACTATTTTTTTTTTACTCTGGCTATTGTTCTAGTCCCTTTGAAACTCTAAGAAAACACTTTAATCTTTATTTTCTGTCCCGGTATACTTTAGCCGTGATAGAGGTGTTCGAATTTCTTTGGGTCGGGGTTCGGATCTGTTCATAAGGAGAGAGTAGATTCGAAGACCGACGCCCCGTTCACTGCCCCACAACAGATAATATGCGACGCTATTTTCTCTTTCTATTAAACACACTGTATTTGCCTAAAAGTTCATGTCTTAGGTTCGCTTACTTTACTAGTTGTTCTAAAGTTTGAGTTATGTTGCAAATATTAATGGTACATTACAAATCGTGAGTTTTTCCGTAAACTTTTCTTCATTTTATCATTACGAAATTTCTGTTTACAAGTTAGTCACTAACACATTTTGTCGAGAACATATTTTCATTAACACCACTTAGAGAATCATGATTTAAGACTTGTTTGTATGTGGATATCATGCCCTTAGGTATTTTAGTATTTTGGCCACATTCAACTAACGGCATGTGCGGAAGTGTAATTTGTGTTAATCGCTGTCTTACCTACTTGAATGTTGTATAGTAGAAGGAAACTTTCTGTTGGAGGTCTTTATAATAGGAGGAATGACTTTAGGATGGTTAAAACATCATTCTTTTAATATTCTAAAATGCCTTGTACTAAACATTGTTGTAGTTTAAGAATTCGACTCGCTTTGTGACTTCACACCGTAGCACGAGTTTGTTTACTTCTGTTAATTGAGATGAAGTCTCGATTCGCTAAAGCTAGTTGTCCAATGTGGAATTTGTGCTTTGCAAATTATGTATGTAGTTATATCTTTAATTTAGAAAGAATTCATCTAAATATTCAGGCCTTATGAAATAGAACTTTTCTAAAGAAATACTCTTATAAACCAGTAGCTAAGATAAGCTTAACGACCTAAATTTCTCTTTGATCTCTTACCATCATATCAATTTCATGACACCATGACTGTAGTTTCTTATTTTTCATCTTTCGTGCTTGAGTCTATATGCTGGCCTTAATTGTTTAAACTTAGATAATGAAGGATTATTAATAGACTTCTCCATAAGTATAGTTTGTTCTAAACATAGAGTTACATATTTTCTGTCTCTTCATATGAATTACTAGATGACATTTTAGAGCCTTTTCTGTTCATTACCACTAACTATATGTATCCCAGTTAGAATATTGAGTTTGTTTAAATATATATGTGATGTCCTAGTCTTAATCTATTGATGTGAATTGTGTGGCTTAAATACAATTGAAATCAGATAATAATATGACTTCTTTCATTTTAGCTATTTCTTATGAACGTTCACAATGTAGATGTCTCTCTTCTAATTGTTTTGTTTTCTTTCTTCTTTTGTTTTGCATGATACACCGGAACCAAAGAATCTCACTTTGAGACTCGGCGATGTCGTGGCACTGCATGGAGACCGCATTACCTGTTGCATTCTAATGTTGAAACTCAGAGCGAAAACCAAAAAGAAATCATCCCTTTGGGATGTTGACGGGGAATACTCGTTATTCTAGCTTGATCTTTATTTTACTAGTTCCTATCTTG